ACAGAACAACTGTGTCAACTCTTGAAACTGTGCCTGCAGTCAACCTACTTCACATATGGGGAGCAATATTATAGGCAGAAACATGGGTGTGCTATGGGGTCTCCAGTTTCTCCTATTGTTGCCAACCTGTACATGGAGGAGGTAGAAAAGAGAGCCTTGACGTCCTTTTCAGGGACACCACCAAGTCATTGGTTCAGGTATGTTGACGACACCTGGGTTAAAATCAAATCTCAGGAAGTCCAACATTTTACTGACCACATCAACTCTGTGGATAAATACATCAAGTTCACACGAGAAGATGTAAAAAATGGCAGGTTGGCTTTCTTGGACTGTGAGGTCTCAGTCTCTGATAGAGGACATTTGCAAACTGAGGTGTACCACAAACCCACACACACAGACCAGTATTTGCAGTTTGACTCCCATCACCCTTTGGAGCACAAGTTAGGAGTCATCAGGACTCTGTATCACAGAGCAGACAGCGTCCCCACTAGCTCAGGAGCCAGGCAGAAGGAGAAATCCCACACAAGACAGGCTCTAGAGCAATGTGGATATCCTAACTGGGCCTTCCTGAAAGCAGAGAAGAAACCCAAACAGGACTCCAGTCAGCCAACAGGTGAAAAGGAGGAACCCAGACCCAGACCAGTGGTCATTCCATATGTTGAGGGAGTATCAGAGAAACTGAGACGTTTATTTTCTAAACATAACGTCCCAGTGGCTTTTAAACCCCAAAATACATTACGGCAGAGACTGGTTCATCCCAAAGATCTAGTCCCCCGGCACAAACAGAGCAATGTTGTGTATGCTGTTCAGTGTCAGGAGGGCTGTGATCAGTCTTACATCGGGGAAACAAAACAGCCACTGGCCAAAAGGATGGCCCAGCACAGAAGATCAACATCATCAGGCCAGGACTCTGCGGTCTACACTCATCTCCAGGCCAGCGGTCACTCTTTCAGGGATGAAGATGTTCACATCCTGGACAGAGAGGAACGATGGTTTGAGAGAGGAGTAAAGGAGGCCATATTTGTGAAAAGAAATCGTCCATCATTAAACAGGGGTAGAGGCCTACGTGTTCAACTGTCCCCCTCTTACAATGCTGTGATTGCTAGTATCACTCAGCCCTCTGTGAACAGTAAACAGCCATCAGTGTGCTAATGATCCATTGTTATGCTGATGGTCCTTCTTGAGCATTTGATCAGCTGGTTTTGGTTGTCAGCAGCAAAACTGGTTGATCCACCCTGAGACGGTGCTATTTAAGAGACTGAGCTGAATACAGCTCCTCAGACTGAGGAAGTCTCTCGGATGAGAGACGAAACCGTTCTACATTTTTTTGTTGATTTGCTTTGTTTTGTTTTTTTGAATGTCCAGAGGACCAGATTTAACTTTTTTAGATTTTTCTACCTGGATTATTGAGCATGCATCAGGATATACAGTTATCTACTGCAAACCCCGCCTTGTTCGACCACTTTGATCGGGGCTCTGGACCCCATCCCCTCTGCTTGTTGATGTCCCTGTTTACCTGAAGCGCGTGGCATTTCTGCCCACCCGAAAACATCGCTCCAGGCGCCGTGGAAGACATGCCAGCCGTCTCGTGAGGATTAAAGCCAGCATCAAGCTCTCCGCTGCTTCGTCATCTGCTGCTGACCATCAGACGTTAGACTGTCCATTCGGATGCTTTGCTGACCCACTCAACTCCAGCCTGCTTCAGGTGCCCGGGCCTGGTATGCGCAGCGGGCACGCGCGCAGCCATGCGGCCGCAGCAGTTTTAGTCGTCTCCAATGGAACTTAAGCAACTCTGGACTGTCTGCTGCATCATCTCCTGCCGACCATCTGCTGGATATTCACCTGTCTGGGTGCTTCACTGATCCTGCTGGGTCCTGCCTGATCCCCATAGTCGAGACTGGCTTGCGCCACGGGCTCGCATACAGCTGCGGCGTCTCTGGTCCTAGGAGGCACGGTTCAAACTCCAAAAATCTGAAACAGCTGATCTGTGCTCCGTGCTCAGCTTTTCCTTCAGCTACTGGTCCTACAAAGATTGCTCTGCTGAATGTGAGGTCACTGACAAATAAAACTTTTATCTTAAACAACTTTTTCTGCTCCAATGGACTGGACTTCATGTTTGTTACAGAGACCTGGCTCGTCCCTGGTGAGTTAAGTGTTTTTTCTGAACTTTTGCCGGTGGATTGTGCCTTTTTTAATGCTCCAAGGACTTCTGGTAGGGGTGGTGGATTATTAACAGTTTTTAAAAAGCTCTGGAACTGCAGGCAGCTAAAGGCTGTAGCTTTTC